ACAGGATCCACTGTATTCCAAACCTTAGCATCATGCAATATATGCAGGTAACAAATCTGCACATGGTACCCCCTAAACATGAAGTAAAAGTTGAATTTTTTTTTTTTGACAGAGTCTCAGTCTGTTACCCAGGCTGGAGTGTAGTGGCATGATCTCGGCTCACTGCAGCTTCCACCTCCCGTGTTTACGTGATTCTCCTGCCTCAGCCTTCTGAGTAGCTGGGAGTACAGGCATGCATCACCAAACTCGGCTTTTTTTTCTTTTTTTTTTTTTTCCTAGAGATGGGGTTTTGCCATGTTGGCCAAGTTGGTCTTCAACTCCTGGTCTGAAGTGACCCACCTGCCTTGGCCTCCCAAAGTGCTGGGACTGCAGGTGTGAGCCACCATGCCCAGACTGAAATTACTTTTCTACCAAAGAAAAATATTTGCTAACTTATTTGTTGTGATGAGTATAAATGTACACTGCATAGTAGTTCTAGCTGCAGAGGACCACGGGTCATCAGTTCTTTAGACAACATGGCCAATTGGTTTGGCTAAAAAGCATGTTTAGAACTGTTTTCTTGCTAAAAATATCTTGTCTTAAACAGTAACACTTACTGAATGTTTTTGCTAAAATTGAATGTTTCAAATAAATCAAACTTTTGCCTCTAAGTGCCAACCCATTTTGAAGGCTTCTCAAACAGAGCAATACTAATTTCTCTGCCTTCTTAACTAAATCATACAGAATATAGGGTAGATTTCGTTGATGATCTAAGGTCATTTTTTAAAACCACAATTACCATTCACGGTTAGTCCTCAGAGCCTGTGTGTCCCTACTCTAAATGATACCAGATTAAAGTCTTTTTTAAGTTTTTGTTTTTTGATATCAAGTTGCTCATTATTGCTTGTTATGGTAAACCATGCTTGCTTTTACCAGTTTTCCTCTTCTCTTTTGTCTGTTATTTTTAATCTGTTGGTGAAAATTGTTTAGAATTATACTCAAAATAAAGCAGCCTCTAACTGGGGACTTGAGAAACTCCCACAAGTATAGTTTTGGTGATAGAATCTATTAAAATGTACTTAGGTTTCTTCAAGCTTTATTTCAGATTGCAGACCATTTCAGTGATATTGTTAATGGGAGTAACAATCATGGCTCATGTTGACTATCAGCTATAGCCTTTGACCTGTTTTCTTGCTTTGACTCATACCTCTGCACAAATTATCCAGAGTGATCCCTTAAAAATGTAAATCTGATCATGTCACATCTCTGCTTAAAATCTTCCTCTGGCCTCCTCAGACCTGGAATAAATTCAGGTATTGTCCCCTTGGCTTGCATGACCTCACCTCGCCTACCTCATTTCCAGTCTCTTTCTGGTTCACTGGGATTTTTTGCGGTTCCTCAAAGAGGTAACAGACTCTCATCTCAAAGATTGGGCGCCAGCCATTTCCTTATCCTAGCACCCCTTTTCTGCTTGGCTTTCTCCCTGTTTCCTTCAGATTTCTTTTTAAATTTCACCTCAGAGAGGCATTCCACAAGCACACAATTCAATATAGCAACCCCTTTCACTCCCCATTTCTCAGCCTATTTTCTTCAGAGTACTGCTAACATTTGAAATTACCTTTATCATCCCTCTAAGAATGTAAACCCCATGAGAGCAGGGGTTTTGTGGTATTCATGAAGGCATTCCCTGAGTACAGAAAAAGAATGTTTGCAAGGGCTCAACAGATATTTTTTGAGAGAATGCTTTATTTAATTCTCATTAGAATTCTAAGAGGTAGACATCACTGAATGTCCATTTCATAGGTGAACAAATTGAATCTTAAAGAAGTTAAATAAACTTGTCTCAAATCCAGTCACTAAATACTGAAAGCAGGGGAGCTGAGAGCAAAGTAGTAGGACATACCTTATGTGAGCTCTGATTGATATCTGAGTAATTTAGATATGATCACTGAAGTCGCTTGGGTACTTTAAATACAAAAGTAGCAAGCTTGATTTGAGAGCAAGTGCATGGGAAAGAAAACAAAAATGTTAAGCGTAAATGTTTTTATTTTCCCAAGGAAGAACATTTGTAACCGATGGTTACCTACTTGAGGCTAACATGGAAACATATCATGTTGCTAAATCCCACCCAGTTTTCCTAAAGCTTGCGCCTGGAGGCTGCTGGGGAGTAGAAACAGTTGCACCAGAGGTAGAGCAACTCTTCTGGCAGTGTCCAGAGAGGCAGAGACTGAATAGAGTTCCTGGGGGCTGACATAGCAACTTGGCCAGGAAGTCTGGTATCTGCAGTGGGGCAGAGATACTCAAGAGACACCTGGGTGTGTCAGTCAGTCATAAATCTATTGTTTATAAACTGAACACTACCTGGCATTAGTGTGTTGTTTGTTAAGCGTACTATATGCAAGAAAAACAACAACAAAAAAGGAAACTATAAAGGAAAAATGGACAGTATTAGATGTGGTACACACCAAGATATGCCACCCAGCTCCTTCTGCAAGGATGGACATAGTGCCCAGCTGTGGAGTGTGGTCAGTGGACTGCCTCCAGCTGCTGGATATGCTTCCGCGACAGAGCTGCCATGCTTGAGATCACAACCTTCCCAGAGCTGCCCAGTGACTGATAGAAGTGTAGGTAAAAAGGCCTATTTACTTTGGCCTAATTTAAACATTCTGACAGATGACACTAGCTCAGAGTTCCCCTCTGGGTTGGCCAACTTTTTTCAGGCCTGCTTAGAGCACTCCCATTTCTTCTGCCTATTCCTGCTTCTTTGCTCTTTCCCTTCACAGGCATGCATCCCTGAGAGTTATACATAAAAATCTCTTGTACTTCAAACCGCTTTCAGTGCCAGCTTCTGCAGAACCCTATCTGTGACCTTAGGTTTATTCAGCTAATAAAACGTTTCTATTGCTACACTAGAACTAAAAGGCTCTGGCTATCTAGTGCTGAACAAAACAGTCATGGTCTCTGAACTCACGGGGATTATCACCTACTAGAGGTAGCAGATGTTAAATAAAAATGAAAAATAATAAAAATCTATTTTCACTAAGTGTCATTAGGGTCTATGGAAAAAAATACCGCCCCCCTAATACTCACAAGTCTATCAGCTAGCATATATGTTAAGTACTGTTCTCATGTTAAGATTTTGACAATATGGATAACAACCACTTAGAAGTTACTCTATCAAAATAATGTAACAAAATTGTTGATATAACAAAATTTTGTTGACTTTATTTAATCCTTTCAAATCTGCAATGTTGAGGAATCATCCAGTTACTTATGAATGTCCTTATCAAACTAGATCACTGGTAAAATGAGACTGCATGTGGACTTTTGAAATGAGTAAGGCAAATGTAGACTCTTAACTAGTAGAGATCTATCCGCCAGCATCCACTCTTCTAAGAACACCTCAGTTTCCTGTGGTGAACGGCCTCCTCCAGGACTCCTTTAGGTTCATGTGGTATATGGGAGGAGTGTCACCTACATTTAAGTAACCAGGAACAGTATTTTCCATCCCCTAGCCATAGTGGTTGGTTCAGGAACGTGCACATAATCCAAGGCAGACCAGTAACAGTGAGCTCCTGGACTTTAGCGGGAACTATTAGGCAAGAGTATCTCATGCCAGTGGGATCAGAAAACTAGCAGAATATAAGCCTTGAGTTTCTAGCGGCCATCATTCTGTGTGAGAATGAAACTGACTCAGAATAATACTGACAACAGCAAAGGAAAGCACTACTATTATATCCTATTTAGTATGTGTCAGGTATTGTTTAAAGAGCTTTATTTACACTAAACATGTAATCCTTACAATGTACAGATGTGCAGAGATGTGGCACATTGCCCTAGGTTATACACAAGTGGGATTTGAATTCTAGCAGGATCTGTGTCCCTCATGCCATGTAGACGCATCATAAAAATGAGAGCCAAGGGCTAAAGCCTGTCTCAAAGAGAACCATCTGAGCACCTACATCCAGATTGGGCCTGCAGTGTGCAGCTGGACTCTTCACTTAATGAACTCAGATTCATCATTGCATTATTCACAACAGAAAGTGAAAAGAACCTAAATACTCTATGACGGTGGTTAAATAATAATAGGAATAGGAATACGATGGCATATGCATAGCCTTTTGAAAATATATTATGGCCGGGTGCAGTGGCTCATGCCTATAATCCCACAACTTTGGGAGGCCAGGGTAGCAGGACTGCTTGAGCCCAGAAGTTCAAGACCAGCCTGGGCAACAAAGTGAGACCTCATCTCTACAAAAAATTAGCCAGGCATGGTGGCATGGGCCTGTGGTCCCAGCAACTTGGGAGGCTTAGATGGGAGGATCACTTGAGACCCAGGAGGGAAAGGCTGCAGTTAGCCATGATCGCACCACTGCACTCCAACCTGGGTGACTGGGTGAGGCCCTTTCTCACCAAAGGGAAAAAAAAAAAAAAAAGACGTTTGTATATATTTTTATTTTTTTAGAAACGACCTCAAACTCCCGGGCTCTGCTTCCCTAAATAGGGAGCCTGAGATTACAGGCATGAGCCATTGTGCTCAGCCCTAAAATATTTTTGAAGAATATTTATGCATATGAAAAAATGCTATTTTTCAAAAATAACAAAATTGCATATTCATTATAATAATTTTGTAGATAAGAAATGTATGTGCAACAAATCTACAAATATAGCAAAATATAGTGATGATCTCTCTCAAAAAATTGTGGGAGAGTTGATTTTATATTTTTTCCTGAATTGTTGATGTTTTCTACAATAATGTTTTAAAATTACAGGAGGCAAAAGAAGGAAAACTCTTAAGATGTAAAATACTCTTAATTCAAACTACAAAACTTCTTCAGTATCTTACACTAAATTGAATCTAAATTAAACTTATAGTTCATTCAACCACAGAACGTAAACTCCACGAAGGTAACTTTCTTTTTCCTGCTTAATGTAGTGTTGTGCCTCCAATGGCTACGTCAGTACCTGGCACCTGAGTGCTTTTCAATGAAAGATGAAGAGAAAAATGAACTGGCAGTGTATTTCCACCATACTAGCAAGACATTTATCTAAAAACATTTAAAAACTGTTTTTTAAAAAAATTCTAGTTAAGACAAGATAATTCAACGTTCAAGCTAATAATTCTATACAATTTTAAGAGTCTAAATTTATTTTTAAGTAAAAAAATGCAGAGAAAAGGAGTGCACGATACAGAATTATCTTGATATGCGCTGCTGTATTATTACCATGCTAACGACCTCTTTTGTTTCAATAAAACTATCAATATTTACTGAGAATGAGAGCTCTGAATCAAAGGCAAGAGAAAGAGACCTGTAAATAGTGCTGTTCGTACTAGTTGCCCCCAGTTGTTCCCAGGCCTCACTTTCAAGTTGCCTTAAGTAATTTTTGCTTTCTGAATATAAAGACAACTGTGGAGGGGTCAGACAGCTGAGGACTGAACTTCTTAAAAACTGGCTTCGGAGAAAAGCGTAACATTACAACTGAGGTGGCCAGGCACTGGCTCACGCCTGTAATCCCAGTACTTTGGGAGGCCAAGGTGGATAGACCATAAGGTCAGGAGATAGAGACCATCCTGGCTAACACGGTGAAACTAAAAATACAAAAATTAGCTGGGCATCGTGACACGCACCTGTAGTCCCAGCTAGTCGGGAGGCTGAGGCAGAAGAATTGCTTGAACCCGGGAGGCGGAGGTTGCAGTGAGCAGAGATTGCGCCACTGCACTCCAGCCTGGGTGATAGAGCGGGACACCGTCTCAAAAAAAAAAAAAAAATTACAACTGAGAACTGAGGCATCAGGTCTTAAGGTTTAAAACAACAGTCTTATAGTTGTCACATTATCATATTATGTCATCTCTGAAAATAAATGCACACTCATCCCAGAGTCTCCAAAATCTTTATCTTTAGAATCCAACCTCGTTTTAAGAAGTAGTAAAATGAAGGAGCATTGTTAGTAGTCACCTGACAAAAGTTGTCCACTATTCTTGACATTAAAAATTGAATGCAATGATTTAAGTAACATTTCCATAATATATTTAGAATCACATGGTTTCTAGTGATTAGAATTCAGTCATGACTGGAAAGGAGCAGAAGACAATGGCTAGGCAGCACATTCCTTACAAAGGATACATAAATGGTTTACTTAGGATGACTAACATTCAGAATTTAAACACGGTGCATTTTTTTCCTCAGAGGAAGCAATTTTAGTTTCTAAAGAGCATTTACTTCTGACATCTCAATTCCTGATTTCAGTGGCTGCAGACTGTGCACTTCTGTGCCACACTTAGGACAAGTAAAGTACATGTCAAATAAGAAACTACTCTTAGCACAGAAATAACAGAAAATATGCTCACATCCTATGGTGTGAGGCATGGTGGGCCACTCTCCACAAAGAGAGCATTCTTTGCCACTAGTGGCTAATGTATTGTCACTATTAGGTGCATCAGTAAGAGGGATACACCATGAAGACAGCTTGGCTTTCAACTTCTGGACACTGATAAGTGGTAAGAGAAAAATCAGAAATTCAGCAAAACCATGCCAGAGAAGTTCCCTATTCATGTATTCAAAGCCAACTTCACGTATGTTTTGAGGCTTGCAAAATACAGAATGAATGCCTAGGAGACGTTCTGTCAAAGTTGCAAACTTTCCCCTCTGAAGGAAAATCAAAAAATTAATCAGTCCACCTAATTTCAAAAGTCCAACCACAAAATTCACACACTGCTTGACTTTCCCAAATGATGCTAAATGATGGTTTCGAAACAAATCATAGCATCGTTCTTCTAACCACCTCCCACCAATTGTACAAACAGCATACCAGATTTTTTGATTTTTACTGGGTGGCTGATATCTCAGGTTAGGGGAAAAATCATTCTTGTACTGAATATTCAAAACTGACTGTCCCACTGTGGCATTTTTGGAGTAGATGGTGAATCTCCACAAGAAAAGCCATAAGCATGCTTTCACCTCTGGCTCAAAGCGAGCTAATAGCCCAGGTTTAAATCCATGAAAACACTGAGTAAACTGGGACCAAACTAGCTGCTCCAGGGCCTTGTTTAGTTCAAGCGCATCCAACTGGCTTATTCTTAGCACTCTGTTTGCATTCTTTGCATTCTCTTTTCTGGAAGCCATGTCTTCTCTGAAGGTCTCTAGGAAAAAATACAATTGAAGAACATTAACAAAGAGTTGCAATCTTGTACAACCCCCTCAACTTATGCCTGGAAACTGTCATACACAAATTACACAGGATACATAAGAGATGAGCCTTTCAGTAGTCTAAAACAGTACAGCGGATAATTACTTCTTACTTGAAACTTCTGTCTCGTCTCTCAGAGCCTTTCTTTCTCCCCCTGCCTTTTTTTTGCATTAATTTCTTTTTCTTTTTTCTTGGCCCTCCTCATCAAAGAAATAACAAAACAAAACAAAACAAAACCTGTACCCTCTTTCCACAAATATACTTTTAAGCAATACTCTTTGGTCAGATATTCTAGCAGGGAGATACTAAAATCCTGAAGTTAACAGAAAGGAGGCTGAATAACATGACTAATGAAGAGACATTGGAAGGTAATAAATACAACAACTATATAGAACATTGCAACAGATGGTTAAGTCAAGACCTCAGTTTATTTTCCAGCACTTCTACTGACTCCAAAGGTGTTATTTTTCAGCAAGTCATTTAATCTTTCTCAAATACATTTTATATGTGTAAAGGAAGTTAAAAAGAAAAATAAAAGATACATGGTTACTATTCTATCACACTATTGCAGAAAATAAATAGTACTAAATCTTAGTATGAGGGAACAAGAATGCAGAAATATCATTATTAACGTACTAAAAATGTATACATCATACAGTACTCTAAGAAAGCTATGATACAAAAATATATACCACAATAATGTCATAAATACACTAAGGAAACAAATTGGTGCTAAAGGCAAAAAAACTTAAATGAAATGTAAGAGCTGATTAATGGTTAGCTAGGTACAGCTTACTGATACAATACACATATATTACTGATTCAATACATATATACGTATTATGTGCAAGCTGATATAATTAAAACACCAAGTCACTGCTATAATCCAGTATACAGACCAGTTCAGATACTTTAAATATTATTAACTGGCAAATTCACCCATGACCAAAAAAAATACATCATTACATTGCACACTTTGAATATATACCATTTTTACTTGCCAATTATACTCCAATAAAGCTAGGGAAAAAAAAAAACACAAAAAAAAATTAAAATGGGCTATCACCACACTGGGCTTGGTTATCATGTCTAGGCCTTTAAAAGGCCAATACACTAACAGAAAGAACAGTTATTGAAGGAGGCATGGATCCTGCCGGAGCTCACTGCCACGCTCTGGTCATGTATTCTTCGACAAGTCATTTCCCCGACCCTGACCTATGCCTTGGTTTCTTCACTGATAAAACAAAGGGCTGGAGATAAAACAACCTTCAAAGTCTTTTCACATTCTATTCTGTTATGATTTTTAGTAAAAGAATGATAAACACAATTTATTAGAAGGTAAAATAAACTTGTACTTCTTGAAATTGGGAGTATCTTTGACAACTGAAGATGTTTTCAAGCGGGAAGTTCTAAATTTACCCATGCATCCTAGAAGACTTAGTGGCAGAAGATTACATGTTTAACAAGTTCAAGTCCAGGAAATAAAAGTGATCATTGAATAACAGGTTGTTTGGTGCTATTTTTCTCTCAAACCAGATATGCAACAGGAATGCTTCTCACCATAAATGCCAATGATCTTCTGGGCAGATCTCACCATTTTCCCGTTCCTGCAGCTCCCTCAAGACTGGACAGCCTATAGCTATGGCAGTGGGAATTTTTGCTCCAAGTTCTTCTGTGAAAACCTTGCCTCATACTTGCCAGAAGCTACACACAAAAAAGAATAAAGTTAGAAAGGTAGTTCCCTTTCCTCACTCTACAAATCAAATCCATTGCCAAGGACTGTTGATACATGGTCCAAAATTTTTCCTAATTCATCTGTCACTCCCTATCCCCCGCAAACCTTTTCCTGAATTCTGGCTGCTCTCCTCTCTCATGGATTCCAACAAATTGGTCTACCTTACCTTCTGCCTCCTTCAGTGCATTCCCCACAATGCCAATGTTCTAAAACACAAACCTCCCCAAATCCACTCCCAGCTTGCTTTCCTTCTTTACGCATCATATCCAGTCAAAAAGTACCCCCTTCTTTTGTTCACCAGTAGACTTCACTGTCCTTTCCCTTTGTGTGGAACAGTCTGTTTCCAATCTTTAACTGAAAACTCATACTAAGTTTTTAAGTACTGGCTCAGACATCACTTCCTTCTGACTCCAAATTTGGGTAGCTGCCCATCGAGTTGTTCCCTTGGCACGCTATTCTTTCTCTTTCTTGGCCTCTATCTACTGTACATAAACTACTTATAAATTGTTTATTTCCTCCACTAGAGGATAAGCACTGTTGTAAAGATTATTTGAGCCTTATAATAATTGAATCAACAATTGTTGAATCAGAACAACTATCTCAGTTCCTGGGACACAGAAGGCACTCTACAAGCACTAGATAAATGAATAAATGAACAGAATGAAAGTCTGTGATGTGTGAAGGATAGAAAATATAAATTCCCATCCATTACCCTTTAAAATTATTTCAAATTACCATATCCAGAAAGATGATTATTATTAATGTCACTAATTTCAACATGTTTATTGTGCATCTGTTATTTACCTGTTAATGTGAGAGCTAGTGATATAATGGTACAACAGACACTGTCTCAACCCTTGTGGAGTCTATAGTCTACTGTGGAACGAGAGAGAAAAGTAAGGGTGTGCTATATAAAATAAACAGGTGATTACAATAAGGTGCGATCAGTGATCTGCAAGGGAAAATTCAGGGCACTATGGTTACAACTATACTTCAGAAGGTCAGAGAAGGCTTCCTGGGAGAGGAAATACCTAAGCAGCCACCTGAAGTATTAGCATGTCAGCCTGGTAAAGAAGGGTAAGATTATTATTGCCAATGGTGGGAAGAGTAGGTACTAAGGACTAGAGGTGCACAGATGAGATAAGGCTGGAAAGAAGCAGGAGACAGGTCCTAAAGGCCCTAGAAGCCAAGCTGAGAAGGCTGTATTTTATGAAGAAGGTAATGGGAAGCCCTCAATAGTTGTACGCAAAGAACTAATAAGATTTACATTTTAGACTGTTTGTTCTGACCACCCTGAGGAAAGAATGGATTCGAGGCTGAGAGAAAAGACTGGAAACATAGAGACTAGTTAACAGGTTGTTAAAATGATCTGGTGAGAAACTAATGATGGCCTAAATTAGAAAAGTATCAGTGGGGACAGAGAGAAAAGGGTATCTTTGAAAGCGATGAGGTGGTAGAAGTGACACTATCTGGAGAGAAATAAGCCAAGAAAAACTGACTTAAGTAATTGAGTGATAGGGATCCAAGTCCCTGAAACAAGAAATCCATGAGGCAATACAGGTTTGAACAGAAAGATAATAAATACATGCAATGTTAAAGATCTGAGGCTCCTATGAGACATCTAAGTGGAAAAGTTCAGTAGGCAGTTATATAAATATGACAGAAAAAATCCAGGTAGAATTTTAGAAGTCTGATGCCCCTCTGGTAAAACTAATCTATTTTAAATCTACTTGATCTATGTAAGTGCTAAAATCATGAAGACAGTGATTCAAAACAAGATAGATCTTGTCTATTTGTAACACATTCAACTTTCTTTGTAACAACATAATCTTATTCTGTTAGTTTTTAACTGCTAACATATATTTGTCTATGATAAAGATACATATATCTCTGGACTTTTAATCCGTCTAAACTGTGGTCTTCACCGTCACAGTCCTGTGGTCTCTGTTCCTCTAGTCTAGTGGTTTTCAAACTTGTGAGTTCATCAGAATCACATAAAACAGACATACCTCAGAGACACTCTAGGTTAGGTGCCAGACCACTGCAATAAAGTAAATATCACAATAAAGTAAGTTACACAACTTTTTTGGTTTTCCAATGCATATAAAACTTACACTTTCACTATACTGTAATCAAGTGTGCAATAGCACTGTGCCTTAAAAACAACGAACATACCTTAATTAAAAATTACTTGATTGCTAAAAAATGCTAACAACCACCTGAGCCCTCAGTGAGTTATAATCTTTTTGATAGTGGAGGGTCCTGCCTTGATGTTAATGCCTGCTGACTGATCAGGGTGATGACTGCTGAAGGCTGGGGTGGTTGTGGCAATATCTTATGACAGCAACAAAGTTTGCTGCATGGATTGACTCATTTCATGAAAGATTTCTCTACTGTAGCATGCGAAGCTTTCTAAAGGATAGCATTTTACCAAGAGTAAACCTTCTTTCAAAATTGCAGTAAATAGTCTCAAACCCTGTCACTGCTTTATCAATTAAGTTTATGGGATATTCTAAATCCTTTACTATCTTTTCAACAATGTTTACAGCATTTCCCCAAGTGTAGACTCCATCTTAAGAAACCACTTTCTTTGTTTATCCATAAGAAGCAACTCACTGGGTGCAGTGGCTCATGCCTATAACTCCAGACCTTTGGGAGGCCAAGGGAGGATTGCTTGCATAGACCAGGCACATTTCCACATTAAAAAAAACACACATACCCGAGCTGGCATGCATCTGATATCACTAAACTAAGGGGAAGACAGAGAACAAGCGACAGAAGATAAAAGACTATAGGCCCAGATTGGAAGGACATGACAGTGAGCTGACGGGCTTTGTACACCAGCCTGAGTGCACAGAGCGTGGATCCTTGTGTTCCCAAACCCAAAAAAAAGAGCGGGCAGGGCAACAGTCGGCGAACAATCTATTATGAGTTGCAGCAAACAAAACACATACTTTAAGGCTCCACTCTCAATTGTAGTTCCTTGCTGGTTCTACCACATCTGTGGTATTTCCTCCACTTGAAGTCTTGAACTCCTCAAATCATCAACACAATGGTTCGACATCAACCTTCTTACGAAACTCCTGTTCATCGTCCGAGGGGGGGAGTGGTCGCTGACCGGTCCCCATGAATCATGTTCTTAATGGTACACAGAAGCGCGCGAATCTCGCCCAGAAGGTTTCTCAATGTTACTTTGCCCAACCCATCCAGAGAAACTGCTAGGCTTGGCCAATCACAGCCTTATGGGAAACTGAGCGTAAAAATAAT